AGGAAAAGGTTACTTTTAATCCTTCTACGTTTTGATTAAACGTCACAAATTTCAAGAAATTTAGATTTTTTTTGCGTGACAACAGTAAAGGGTTCCTACGTTTATCTCAAATTGAAAATTCTTTCTAACAAAAATCAAATTATTTGTAGTGTTTTCGTTTTTTACTTCTGCGATCTTCCCTTTTTCTCTGTCTACTAGCTCGCACTGCTATGCTTGTTGTGTTTTGCGAGGGGTGCGAAGCCCCACTATGCCTCTGCTTATTGATATTTTGTTTTATTTCTGTAATTTGTAAATATAGCAGCCTTAATTTTTTGTTATTATTCCGCTTGAAAGTTTTGTTCGGATTTAGAGGTATCGCCGTGTAACACATAAGCATGACGCTCAATTGTTTAAATATCAATGTTTTTTTCTTTTTTTACATTGTTTGTCCCCATTTGAAATTTAAAAATGACGGAAAAACTTTGTCGATGTTTTATTTTTGTTTTGGAATTAATTTTCTCATTTTTGCCCTCTAATTTGCAATTGTTTTGTTGTGGGGTGTCGCAAGTTAAGCGAAAACTATTTCTGATGCAGATGTGATATTAACTATCGCCTGTGCTTCAAGATTATATAAAATTGAGATCTGTGAAATTGTATGACTTCTGCTTTCAAAATTAGTTAGTAGTCAGATTATCAAGTGAGGTGAAACTCTCATATCTAGATCTAATTAGCTCAAATTGGGTGATTTTTCTCCACAAATCGTCAATTCGAAAGGATTTTGGAGAGCTCCAAGATGATTTCACCTTTTTGAAACTGGAAATTTTTTTTTTCACGGTTATATTTTTCTCTGGTCTCTTTGAGTTGATTGAGTGTCTTCATCTTTCTAATGGCCTTGCTTTGTTATCTTTGTCATGGACAGTTTTCTGCCAAGATTATTTGGCAGTTTCATTCTTGAAGTTCATCAAATTTTATCGTGATGTATTTTTTTCGAAATTAGATTTTTCTTGAAAATCAATATTTTTTCAAGTGAGTTTTTTTTCGAAGTATCATTTATTTCTATGAAGACGTTTTTATAGGTTGTATTATTTTTTCGTTTTTCAGGAAAAAGTCCGGATTTCGTTAAACCTCGATATTGGAGTTTTGGATTTTTTTAGTTTTTAACCGGCTTCATTAATTAAGCATAATAAATTCTTAATATCCTAATTGTTCCAGATAGACAAGTTTTGTAACAAAAATTTCGAGAGTTTTCCAATAGTGTTTACTCAGTCTAATTTACTCATCTTTTCTCGCAGTAATGGGCTATATATGACTTAGAATAAATGTTTTTGATAAAGTGACCTTGTTTGCGCCTTTTTGGACGGAAAGACGAAAAGGTTGCTTCTAATCATATTACGTTTCGATCGAACGTCGCAAATTTCAAAAAATTTCGATTTTTTTTTGCATGACAACAGGTACGTTTTCGTACGTTTTTCTCAAATTGATTGTTTTTTCTAACAAATATCAAACTGTTTGTAGTGTGTTCGAATTTTGCCTCTGCGATTTTCCTTTTTTCACGCTCTTCTAGCTCGCACTTTTATGCTTGTTGTGTTTTGCGAGGGGTGCGAAGCCCCACGATGCCTCTGCTTTTTGTTATTATGTTTTATTGTATGATTATGCTGTAGAGAAAGAACTCCTAATTACACTGATTCTTACGCAACTGAGTAAATACCTTAAACTCAATTAAATTTTACGCAATTTTGGCACGATCAAAAATTGGTTTTAATTTCCCAAATTTCTTTCTATAAATGAATTTTTTCGGTTCAAAAAATCAGAGACTAAGATAGTTTGGATATTGATCTTAAATTTCAAGGTTCTGAACAAACAAATCAAAGCGCCTCAAAATTAGACGCTTCGAAAATATTCATGCAAGACGTATTTTTCAATATTGTTGCTGAAAAATTCCTGACATTTGTTTTATCATGTTCAATATTGAAAAATACGTCTTGCATGAATATTTTCAAAGCGTCTAATTTTGAGGCGCTTTGATTTGTTTGTTTAGAACCTTGAAATTTAAGCTCAATATCCAAATTATCTTAGTCTCTGATTTTTTGAACCGAAAAAATTCATTTATAGAAAGAAATTTGGGAAATTAAAACCAATTTTTGATCGTGCCAAAATTGCGTAAAATTTAATTGAGTTTAAGGTATTTACTCAGTTGCGTAAGAATCAGTGTAATTAGGAGTTCTTTCTCTACAGCATAATCATACAATTAACTAAATAACTAAGACAAAGTGCAGCAATTGAAAAGTACATGCCCTATTTTTAAGCATAACCTTTCTTACGATTGTAAAGTAGTCGTATATATTTCGTATTGTGAAAATTTTTGTCGATGTTTTTGTTTTGGTTTTGGTGGATGTTTTCTCAATTTCTGTCCGCTAGCTTCCAATTGCATGGTTTGTGGGGTATCGCAAATGGTGCGGAAAATGTTCAAAGAATAGAAACGCAGAGGAGATATTCTGCTTTGTCTCTGTTTTAGGATTAATTGAAATTGAATTGGGAGGAATAAAAATGTATGACTTCTGCTTTCAAAAATTAGTTTTTGGTTATCACAAAAATCAGCGAAAAAGAAATTTCATATCTCGTTCTTGTTGTCTTAGTTAGAGTCAATTTTTTAACTAAGTGTCAATTATAAAATTCGGAGAGATCTACGGTGATATTGTCATTTTTTGAATTTTGTTTTCATCACAATGCTAAGTTTTTTCCGGTCTCTTTGGGTTCATTCTTTTTTATACCTGTCTTTGACTTTCGCTCCAGTTTTTTTATGGTCATTGACTCTTTTTCATCATTCTTTTGACTGTTTTTTTTCTGTATGGGTTTTCACAGAAAGTGACCAAGTGCTTGTGATCTAGGTTTTTTTCACATAGGCTTCATTTGATTTGCTAACTAAGATTTTTCTACGCTAAACAAGCGTTAATACAAAATCGGACATAACTTCACGAGAAATCTATATTAGTTTGAAGACCTTGATTTTAAAGGAGGAATTTCTATTTTATAAAATTTAATGAATTTCTTTGATGAGGACGATTTGTGTGATCAGTTATTTTAAGAGAATTGCAACTGTGCATCTTTCGTAGTGCAGATGAAAAAGTTTTTTTCTTAATGTATGACCTCTGAACATGAAAAAATAAATGTCAGGAGTTTTTCAGCAATATTGAAAAATACGTCTTGTATGAATATTTTCAAAGCGTCTAATTTTGAGGCGCTTTGATTTGTTTGTTTAGAACCTTGAAATTTTAGCTTAATATCCAAATTATTGTTCCGACTTTCGATACGAAAGTAACGGAATATTTGTGCTCGGGGTGGGTTTTTTTTTCTTCAAACAAATTTCGACTTTTTAACTATAGCCATTTTTGACGGAATTTTTAAATATCATTCAAAAGGTTTTGTTGTCCTGAACTTAAATTTGAAAAGATATTTCACTTGTGATCATTTTTCGTAAAGTTATGGGGGTTTAAAGATTGCCATTTTGGCCAATTTGGGACAATTAATGCGCGATATATTTCGCGCTATTAAAGCGTAAGCGGAGATTTAATCCGTCTTAGAAATCGTTCCAAATTGGTTGAACGAAGCTTATTTGCCATAATTGATTTGTTACAATGAACGAAATCTATCTTTTGGTACTTTATATGGCGTGTGGGGGATTATTTTCCTAAAAAATTTCAAATTTTAGAAAAAAAAATTTTCATTTTATTTAATTTCATTTAGTTTTTTTTATGTTTTTACTGCTGCTCCAGGAACCTTAAAAGGCAGTCGGAACATTCAGGGCTTCGCACTGATACGAGCAGTTTTGTCTCAATTTCTGATTGTTTTAACCGACAAAATTCATTTAAAGAAAGAAATTTGGGAAATTAAAACCAATAAAACTTTTGATCGTGCCAAAATTGCGTAAAATTTAAATTAGTACAAAGGATTTACTCAATTGCGTAAGAATCAGTGTTATTAGAAGTTTTTTCTCTACAGCATAATCAAGCATGTGGTCAGTCGGATCATTTTGCGATCAAATCATGCAGTTAACTAAATAACTAAGACAAAGTGCAGCAATTGAAAACTATATGCCCTTTTTTAAGCATAACCCTTCTAAGGATTGTTAAGTAGTCGTATATATTTTTTTTCGCGTCCCATATACGATATACCTATTTTTTTTCGGCTTTTGAAGAATAGTGAATAATTTCGACTATTGAAGAAAGGCAAATTAGTGCTCGGGATTTTTTTTCGTCAAGATAAATTTTTATCCAGCATTCTGGCGGAAATTTTTTATGCGATCTAAAATATATTGATATTCCGAGCTCAGAATGAAAAAAAAAATTTCACCTGTGATATTTTTTGCGAAATTATAGGTGTTTGAAAATTGTCTTTTTGAAAATTTAATTTGTGATAATTAACGGATAACTTGGGATAATTGTCTTTTCGAAAATTTATTTCGGCATTAGTAACGCTTGTTATATTCCATTCTATAACGCATATGCTGCAGAAAAAATCCGGCGTAAAAATCATTCCGAATTGAATTGAGTCCAAAAATTTGGTCCAAAAATATGTGAAATATGTCATTTTACACTAGTGGCCGGTCAAAGGGCAGAAAAGATCTAAAAGCAGAAAGAGTGCCGATATTTATTGAACTATAAGGAATTAATTCCAATTGAAATGTAATGCGAGCTTGTCAACAGAGACTAGGACTCTATTTGAAAATAAGAGTCGGGTGATTAGCGACGCGCCCGTATTGCTACCATTGGTGACCTTAAATCAACTGCGTGCTCGCTATCGAACACCGATTTTCCTGTATCAATCCAGTTTTTCTGCTCTTGGACCCATTTCAAATAATTGTTAACATGTTCGCTCTTAAAGTACCTCAGTATTTAAATTAGATTATGATTCGCGCCTGAATTACCGAGTTCAAATCGAATTATATTCGCTTGTCTATTTTTTAGTTTTTTTATGACTCAAAGTATCATTTATATGTATAATTAAGCAAAGTTGTTGTTTAGCACTGGAAAACAAAGAACTTTCTTTTGCGACATTATCCGATAAGCTGCAGCTCAGCAATGACGAGATAGAGAGCTTCGTGATTGAGGCCATCAGGTCCAAAGTAGTGAAAGCTAAAATAGACCAGGTGAACCAGAAGGTTCTGGTCGGCAGTGTTGCACATAGGACGTTCTCACAAGCCGAGTGGAAGAATTTGCACTCAGTTCTTCTGTCGTGGAGATCGAACATCGAGTCGGTGAGTAAACAGATCGCATCCATATCGCTCGACCTCAATAACCCTCTGTGAGTTCTGATTTGATAAACTTTGTTGAAATACAATTGTTTCCTCTGATATTGTTCTTATAAAAAGCTACCTAGTGCTAGTTAATAAATTTTTCGAAAGAAATCTAGAGAGTCTATGAATTTGAGGAAACAGTTGACCTTGAGAATGCACGTTTATATGGGCTTTCTTTGTTTCCTTAAATGATCAGTCAATAAAATAAGTTTTAATAGTTTCTTTTGTCCCTCGTTTTAATTGAGTAGTGCACTTGACGCTATATCTAATTGCAAGTGTTCAAGTAGATGGTGTTCTCTAATTTGTTACTGAGACTTTTTTATTTGATGTTTCAGAATAGGAAATGCTGCACTTTTAAAAGGCTATTGTTTTAAATGTTTACATCTGATTCGAGTGGCCTTTTTTCTAAATTTTTCACACCTTAAGAGAAGAATGCCTTTAAAAATTAAAATTTGATTCAGATTTCAATGAACGATTTAACTTGAAACTCTATAAAGTCAAATCCAGATTTCTAAATTTTCAAGTTTTCATCGGATTTTTAGCTAGGATCTTGTTGTTTCGGTTTTATAAATCTTGAAAAAAGCCAAGGAAAGGCAAAGATTTTTTAATAAAGTTCAACGGATGATCAAGAAAACTTAATATTTTCCACGGCGCCAGTCAGGTGGAGTGTGCCTATTGTTTGGACTGTGAAAACGGCTAAATCCCCCTCAGCTCGAAATATTAAAGTAACTAAGGCAGGTGAAATTATTGTGAGTTCCGCCAGTTAATTTAAATATTGATTTTTTACTATCAGAAATCAATAAAAATGCAAATGTCTGTCTCCTAATCAAAAAGAGGATAAGAGATGAAAAGGGGACCGAAATCTATATAGCAGGTGCAGACAAAACCAAACTAAAATTGTTTTGGATGAGCGTCCTGCATTTTCAGTGACTCGAATTTCTTCACCCAAACAGACGGTTGAATCTCTCTCCTATTGTATTTTATTCTTTCTCTTAAAGTCTTTTATTTGAGATGACATTTTGACCAAACAGGGAAAAGACTTTTGAGGACTTCTAAGACTTTTATATTTGAAGTTGTAGTATTGAAAGTGCTACACTAATACAAAAGGGTATTTTGTTAATTGCTTACATAAGATTCGAGTGGACTGGTGGCGTCCCTCATGCTGGAGGAACCGAATGCTTGAAACTTATTTTAGCTTACTTTAAACCAATCAGAATTGAGTATTAAAAATCTCAAAGTAAATCGCAAAAATCTCAAAGTAAACAAATAAATCCAGGCTATTAGTGTTAATATTGACCGATTAGATAATAAGCAGATGAGTTTTGAAGTATTGCCGTATCGAAGGCGGATTTGAGCAAATTTAATATTCCAAAGATACCGATTTACAAAAAATGGAAAAAAAAACAAATTTATTAGATCTGCACGAATTGTACAGCTTAAAACCTTTTCTGTTAATTTTGACTTCGATTTTGCGGGAAAGGCATTTAGCCAATAAGAACGCTTAGCGATTTCGATTGGTTGAAATTGTTCAAGCATTCGGTCCCTCAAGCATGAGAACCCTCCCCGAGTGGACTCTTTTCTATTCTAAATTTGTAGGAAAAATTTAGAATAGAAAAGGAATAGATGGAATAGATGATCGGTTATGAGATAAAAAATAAATGGAGTTAATGTATCCCGAATCCGCCTTATGTCAGAGGTTAAGTCGCCATGGTCTAAAATTTGTTCGGCTCAGTTTAATGTTTTTTTTTGCGGTTTGACTTCTGATTTCTTTTTCAATGGCAAATACTTCATTTTTAGTTTATGACCAAGCAGGATAACATATGTTGGAAACATAAGTTAATCGTTTTGTTCATTCTGGAACATTTTAAAATTATGTGCTGGATTGTTTTCAGATGCAAATGTGAATGTCGGACATGAATAACAACGCGGTGCTTAGCTCCGCCGTCACATCGCCCTACATAAATTTTGCGGTCACACTTGGCGAGCTGGTCCGACATGGTTGCATGCTTGTCAGGCTCACAACTCCCCAGGGACCAGTAGGTGAAATAGATGTCAAGTTAGAGCGAACTAGCACCAATATTTCTAGTGTAGAATATCCGCAACAAGCTTCCGGTATTAGTTCCATTTCAAAAGTGACTGGGTCAGGAGTCAGTGATGGAACTACATTTCCTGGCGATGCGCAGATAGCTTCATCGTCGTCGGCAGCACTCAGTAATTCACTTGACTGTTTTATTGGGAATATAGATGAAACAGTTGGAGTAGCGACTGAAAAATTTCGAATTACAGCCAGAGATCAACTACAGTTTTTAGTCCAACAGTTTTCAAAGCCAAGAAAACGAAGACGAAAAGTTGTTAGGAGGGAATTGATAGCTTTTAAAAAAGCAATTTTAAGAGACTACAACAATAGAGCAATGAAGTTTCAAGTCAAGTTTGATAATTATCGACAAGTTGTGCCTCCTGAAGAATTGATTCAGAGCACAAAACATCGTACGCATCATACTCCGGTCACGAATGCATTCCATGTTGTCAATGAAACCGAACATAAACATCCAATCAAGAGTCCAAAGTTGCAAAGGAGGTTAGTCCTTAAGAGCAGCTTACATTTTTTCAATTGTTTTTTTATTTTTCAGTTTTCAACAAACTTTGCAACAAAATGTACTAGAATTATTGTGTTGTTCTTCATTCAAGGAAAAAAGGATTGACCTGAAATATTTGAAGCCGTCAGAATTGCTCGTAGTTATGTTCTGTAGTTATATTAGTGTCTCTTGTTGTTCCTAATAGTTTTCCGTTCCTTAGTATATTGTTTTTCTATCAAAGCGTTACCATGTGTTCAAATTTTTGCTCTCAATGTCTGGGTAAGTATGGTTAAAAACATAAGTCCGACTGAAAACTTGTTATAGTTCTTCCTCTGGAATTGGCCCCCGTGCTTCCACAAGTGCCTCCTCATCAAAAAACACCTCACCCACCCGTCGTGTGACCAACTCCGATCAGCGTCAACCAACTCCTAACTTGCCCCTAAGTTTACTGCCTACTGACTCTGCAAGATCTCAAGAACAGGAGGAGAACAATGCAGCTGCCCTGTCACTGGCGTCGCCGGTCGACCCCATTGATCAGTTCATCAGTCTGGCTCCACCTCTCAACCCAAACCAAATGCTACCTGGAGGCTAGTTAACATTTTATTTCAATTTATTCATGAGTTTTGATGAACGATTCCGCAGGAACAAAAATTGAGTGTAAACAAACTAGCCGAAGTATAAGCCAGCCAAAAATGCGCTGATTATATAAATCAGTCGAAAGTGATTGAAACTTGCTGGGATTTCGTAACTGTTTGCAGTTGCGATCAGCAAGGGTATTGCAATCGGGCACTAGACTTTTCTCCCCGTAACTTTGTCCACAGGTTTCATCTAGACGTCTGCAGTCATCTCCACCTTGCTTGATAGTGTTTGGGTTCGAATCTGACCAGGACGTGTTTTTTTTTTCAAAGGGGAAATATTCTGTTTCAAATAAAATTCGGTCAATTATTGATCTGCTTGTCTGTTATCGGCGAACTTGTTATTTTTATTCAATGTTCGTTTTGGTATTTGATTTACGCCTATAGTTTTCACTTACCTTGACTTCCTATTTCCTTATTTGCTTTTTTCTGTTTCTCGGCCTATTTTTTATCAATTTTCTAACCCAATTTTGGACAGTGTCAAAATAAACACAATATTAACACTCCGCTCCGCACTTTTCAAGTTGGTTGTAAGTTTATCAATCGGTTTGTTGAAAATTCATTTTTTTCGTTTTGGATTTTTTTCACGTGTTGCAAAAATTTTACTTTTTCTCAGAAACTTTTCCTCATTTTCAAAAAAGGAGTATGAATTGAAAGACCGCTTACTCCCCTGTGTGCCTGCATACTCACCTTGAGTTTTTTTTAATTGACCCCTTTGTCTACAGTCTTCGAAAACGTATGGGGAATATTTGACCCTTATTTTTGATTTTTTTTTGTTTTCTCGAAAACTACACCTGTGAATTTTCGTTTTCAATCAATAGAGTTGTTTTGAAAATATCTTCTGCATAAGTGGCTACGCCCAATTGTCTTTACACATAACGTTATGGCCCTCGGAATAGTCAAATTTCTAGTCAAGCTGCCAAGAAATTTTTTATTTGAATTTGAATTTTCGTTTTCAATCAATAGAGTTGTTTTGAAAATATCTTCTGCATAAGTGGCTACGCCCAATTGTCTTTACACATAACGTTATGGCCCTCGGAATAGTCAAATTTCTAGTCAAGCTGCCAAGAAATTTTTTATTTGACAAATTATTGGCTATGACCAGTTTGTTTAAGACATAAATTTTTTGGCAGCTTCGACAGTTTTTTTTAGAAACTTATTGACTTTACACGAAAACTAACGGGCCAATTTTCAGGTTGTGCTCAATCGAGAAATCCGGCTTTTGGAATCTTTTCTGCTTAAGCCGCCATAACCTGGTTTTTGCAGAAAAGCGCTAGGGATTTTGAAGAGTATTTTAACCGTTTTTAGAACTTTTGACTGTTTTTTTTTAAAGAAATTTTGTGAATTTTGTTAAAATTAACACAATTAAATCTGAGATGAAAAGTTCCATTGAAAGAACGGATTGCGATGATAATTGTTCATGCAGAAGCGGCGATTCCTGGATTTTTTCTCAAGAGAAATGTTTTCTCATTTGGAAAATTGATTATCTCAAATTTTCCTACTATTCTCACTTATTTTAATAGAGAAACAACGAAGGTTTTAGGCAAAGAACAGTTTAAGAAATCACATTTTTCGTGCCGCATCAGTATGGCAAATTTATTTAATATCAAAAACTTACCTCAAGCTTTAGCTGGGCTCCTAGTTTTTTTATCGAGACATACAAAAGTTTTGGTTCTCTTAGTTTTTTCAACATCTAAATTTTTTGCGATTCGTTTCTTATGTGTGTGTTATATCGCAAGTGGTGCGAAGCTCTGTTTCGCCTCTGAGTACACAATTGTGACACTGCAATTATGCAGCAGTTGCTTTTTGTCTGGTGCAACTTTGGGCTGGTTAAATTATACTTTCGTTTGTTCAGGAGTAATTTTAATTGGCACAATTTTTTTCTACGTTATTATTAGTTTAGATATACGACACTGGGATCGGTTGGGGGGGGGGGGGACATGATCGATCCCTACAGGGATCAATGGGTATAGATTATACCTAATGATCCCTGTGTAAATATTTGTACCTAATGATTCCTATGTAAATAATTATACCTAATGATCCCTATGTAAAATATTTATACCTAATGATCTCTATGTAAATATTTATAGCTAATGATCCCTATGTAAAATTAATGATCTCAATGTATAATTTTATACCTAATAGTCCTCATGTAAAACTTCGGTATGTTATTGAGTATTCCCACTGAACGTTGTGGAAACGGGAACGGAATTAAGTTTTGGTCGGTGCATGATTTCCCTTCTAAAGTTTGGGGGTATTGGCTTGTTTACATGTAAAATGACGTTATATACCTATTATATGCAATCAGTTGAACCTAATGCAACCAGACTATATGGTATATAGGAAAGCACCGGATTTTTGGCAGCGTAGCTTAACTGTTGGCTGCGGTGAACGATTTCCTTGCATGCAAAAATGCATGTTTTATCGCTGAGTCTCGAAGAAAGGAAAATTCGTCAATTGCGGCGGCCGCCACCTCTATTTAGGCAAAAACTAATGATCAATTTGACCGAAATAAGAATGAAAAATTTCTTTAAGCCAAATGAAGGTTAAACCAAAGAAAAATTATGGAACACTGAAAACTCTAAAATAATGAAATTGGCTTGAAAGTTTCGACATTTCCATTTTCCGTGTGTACAGGAGACCGAAAAAACGTCTGAAATCTATGACAATAGCTTTGATTTTATAGAAAGGTTGAAAGAGCTAATAAGTTGAAGTGGGTTAAGATCTTGAAAAATGAGAACACTGATGAAAGCCAAAAGTGCCCATTAATTTTGCTGCAATCACTTCTAAGACTTGAACCTAACTTTTTACTATAGAATTGAAGTGGAATAAAATTTCTTGGGGTCCGAGTAGAGGAAAACGCATGGCGCTCGACTCTCAGCCGAAAGGCGGCGTTTCGAAACCCGTCCGGAACTTGTACTGAAAGGAGGCAACAGTTGCTGGTATGGTGATATCCCCCCATAGATCGATTTTGTATTTTTTTTATAGTAATCTAACTTCTCGGATTACTGCTATTCAGTTAAAAATTGGGTAAAAATGTCAATTACTAAAAAATGTAGTGTTTAAATTGAAATTGAAAAGTGTACAAAACAGACATATTAAATAGTCAATGGGTAAGCATGTGAGTTAGGAAACGTTTCAAAACATGATCATTTATGTAAGCAAAATCAGAAGCATCACCATTAAAGTTTTTATCATAAATCAAATGTGCAATATAAATGCAAAAAGAACAGCACATGGTAGAGTTTGTGTCTTGCATGCGAAAGTTTGTCATCAATTCAGTCACCTGATGAAAATTTTCGTTCAATCGTTTATACTGATTGGTGTACTGCCAAAGAGGAAGACCGAGAGGATCAGCAAAATATAAAACATTTATTCTGTCGCAAATCACAATCCAATGTGTCCCCGGAGAATCTGATTTTGAAGTATTCACAATCATAAAGATATTGTTTGGGATGTGAAGTGGAAAATTGTCCGCTGCAAATACTCCAAGAAACTTATATTTCAGATGTTTACAGTTCTGAATGAGATCCTGCAACTGGATTTCATCCATTTTTAGACGGTCGAAATTGGAAGGACGTTCTTCGTAACTTTGCGGTCGGAGGTAATAAATACATTGGATGAGCGTATACCCCAAACAAAAATTTCCAGGTTTGCTGTCAAAGCGTTTGAAGTTTTGAAGATCGAGTGAAACTGAGCAGTTAGTAAGTTCTGGATGCAAGAAGTCATGAGCTGCCTGCTGTGTGCTAGTGAGATCAAAACACATAAAAAAGTGCTGTTGGTAGTTATCCAGAGTGATTCCCAGCCCGCAGTGCAACAAACCTAGCGCTGATAGTGTGTTGAAGAAGAGACGTTTATGATCTTGTGTACTGATTGGTGTACTTGCTATTGGTAAACCGTTTTATCTCAAGGTAACTTGCTCCAATCCAAACTTTTGATTATGGGAAAGGATTCGTTCGGTTTGTTCCTAGAAATGCATTATTTGTGTTCAATGCTATTATAATTTGTCTCACCGGTTCACGAGCAAAAATATCTTCCTGTTGCCAGCTGCGCTGACCAACTGTTGCAAGAAATGTTTTTTGTAATTTCTTCTTGTTATGGGTAGTTTGCAGGAGTTTTGAGCAAAGTTGATTCAATGGCAGAGAGCACATGGTCGTTCACAGTCATTTTTCTAACATCTATTTCGCTTCGAGTATTTGCAGCTTGTAATGCTTGGCAGCATCTTCAGAAATAATGAGAAAGTCTTCATGAGAACGTCTGTAGGAAAGTCTGAGGGTAACACCGCTCAACAAATGCTTGTCACATGTGAAAAAATCAACTCCAGTGGGTCCATAGAACCAAATTTCCCTCGATTCATGGACCAGTTCTCATTGAGATGTGAAATCAGCTGCATCTATTGCAGCGGGATTGTTTTCAAAACGATATCCCTGACACTTAAGTCATAAGTCCTTTGGCTTCTTTACTGTTAGAAAATTCTGTTCGAATAAAGCTTTCATGCGCAAAATTACATGATAGATAGATAGATAGATAGATAGATAGATAGATAGATAGAGAGATAGAGAGATAGAGAGATAGATAGAGAGATAGAGAGATAGAGAGAGAGAGAGAGAGAGAGAGAGAGAGAGAGGAAGAGGAAGAGGAAGAGAGAGAGAGAGAGAAAAAAGGAGATATAGAGAGAAAGATCTCAATCAGAAATTTTGTACGAAACAGTTTCTAAGTGATTTTTTTTTCCCAGAGAGATCCTGAAGTGAAACTTAATACCAATGGATCCCAAGTTGAAATTTCAATGGCAATAACCCCATGTGTATTTTTGTGTAGGATGAAAACGAATTCATTTAATAGAATACGTAGAGTGAATTTTAAGGAAAAAAAGAGAGAGAGAGAAAGAGAGAGAGAGAAAGAGAGAGAGAGAAAGAGAGAGAAAGAGAGAGAGAGAGAGAGAGAGAAAGAGAAA